TCGAACAGACGGTCGTCGGACAGACGGCGGAACAGACGGTGGCGGACAGACGGACGGTCAAGGACAGGACGGTACGCGGACTAGACGGAGCAGTCGGACAGTGACGGACAGACGGACAGTACGGAACAGACGGCAGTCACGGACAGACGCGGTACAGACGAAGACGCCGACGGAATACGGACAGACGGTACCGGAGACAGACGGTCAGCGGACCAACGTGCAGCGGACAGACGTCAGGATCAGAGGTCAGCGAGCGGACAGACGGACAGACGGACAGACGGACAGACGGAACAAACGGACCAAACGGACAAACGGACGGTACGGACAAACGACGGTTAGACGGACAAACGGTACGGACGAGACAAACGGACGACGGAACAAACGGACGGACGGTACAAAAGGACGGACGGAACAAACGGACGGACGGAATTCAAAGGGACGACGGACAAAGGCCCGACGGACAGACGGACAGACGGACAGACGGACAGACGGACAGACGGACAGACGGACAGACGGACGGAGAGACGGACGGAGAGACGGACGGATAGGCAGAGTCCAATGAACAGATGGTCGAACGGACTGCCAGTCGAACAGGGCAAACAGACGGAAGGACGCATAAACAGGCAGACGGACGGATAAACAAACTTTGCTGTCAATCGATTTTTGGTATCAAGGACCTACCAAATTTGGATTCTGACCACACAAATGTTAGAGAATATAATTCACTACATACTATACGAACAATCCACTTTTTTGTTGCCAGAGCCCGGAACTAAGAATTATGTAAAAAAATCTTTTTAGGCGCACAATTGAAATATTTTTTTCCTTTTTATGAAGAAAATAAAGTAAAATCTTAAGTTTTTTTTAATTCTTTAAAAAATATTAAAAGGTTCCTATTTACTTAAATTAAACATTTGATTGACTCATGTGACAACATTGCCAACCTCCTTTACTTCATTTCTTAGAGGTAAAAATAATTGAATTATTTATAGAATAAAGGATGAAAGTGTATGGGACTTAATTATGAAACTTGGGATATGCATATGGACGTATACTCATTGTTTAAGTGGATGCATCGTGTCGCATCGTGTCGCATCGGGATACATCGCAAGAGTGATGTGTTCTATTCATTTTTTACATACTGCTGATGTTATTTTCATGAAAAATATTACAATATGTTTTATAGCGGGTAAAGGCTGGTGTTTCGACTAGAAAACAAATTCTTTCGAATCTTAAAAAGAGATAGGAATATTTCTATTTTGTTCAAAAAATTATCGACTCCCGACAACGAGAAATATCAACATCAGCATGTACAATTTAGAAAGCATAAATAGCATACATGTTCATTATCCTTACTTTACTCTATTATATGTATTTATGTTGCATCATTGGTCCGTTGTTTATATCATGATACAAGTACCACCGGCATATCATAATTACCTTTGGGATAATTACACTTTCATTTGTCGGCTCGCACATAGACAGAAGCACTTTCAACAACCATTCCAACCTGAAGCTATACAAATTGCTGGGAAGGTCTCTGCTGCCGTTCATGAATACACTAAAATGTATGATGGAATATGCAAATATATTTGAGAATAATGAGATAAATTTCTGGGAGAGCTGTGACCTCGAGTGTTGATTAATATCTTTCATTTTTATATGGCATCATTTCCCATATAGAGATGCTAATAAGAGATTTAGAAACTCCTTATTAGCTTAAGAATTCTCTGGATTAGGATTGTTAGATTTTGTAAGACATTAATATTGAATTAATTTGTAAATGCATGTCATTCAACGTTAGCGGCAGTTAAACCAACCCTGTCCTTAATGACATCCGAGCAATTTTCTTCATACTATTCACAAGACACTTGTGAATATTCTGTTTAGCAGCCTAAGCGGCCACCAAAAAAGCATATATTGTAGATTGACCTTTATTAAGCAGTCACTCAAGCTATATAAAATTAGCATATTAAGTATAGAAAACGTTAAATATTAATGAAGCATATTCGTTGCTCCCATTATACAGCATTCCTATGGTTTGCTAACCAGTGCTCATTTCTATGAGAATCGGTTACACATTCCCGTTGAACATAGCAATCGCAATTTCGATCTGATGGTCATTCAATAACTCCTTCGTCAGATGACCTTACAATAAGATTTCTGCAGGATGTGAACTGCACCTTGAAGTGTAGTCAGCTTGTTCGATTCTTTGAGGATGGAGAAAGACTCCTCTAAGAGAGGAACTGAAAAGTCAATGAAGCATTCTGATATTACCCGAGAAGTGGCAAAAATAAATACATTGTTTAAGTCTACGGTAATTAAAAATGTTAAAGAGAACATACTTCATTTCAAGCAACTTGCCCAATTAGTTTTAATTTACTCTTCCCTTAATCATAATCGTCAAACCTCTATTTGGCTAGCCCGTACTGGCACGCTCTACGAATCTGTAATTCGGGTTTTCTAGTTCAAATCAAGGTTATCATAATCAAGATAATCAAAATAAGGTTTCTAGTTCAAACTTTCAACTTAAAATGTTACTGTAATACAATTAGAACTTCATGCTTTTTTTTATAACATCCCAAAAGTTGTCACCATGTGCATTTCCAAAAATGAGAAAAAAAATGATAAATGGAGTAATGATTTTTTAAAAAATAATTCAGGCAGGGATTGCAGCCACCTGTATTAAGGACCATTGGTTCCGAACCATTGGTGTCCTCTTAGGATAGGTTTCACTGTACTTAGATTAAGCAAAAAATTCAAGTGAACTTTTTGCGAGTAATTGCAGGAGTATATTAATTTATACGAAAATGGTAATCGAATTTCCTTAATTATTTAATTTAATATTTTTTACTTTTAATATGTTTATTTTAAGTGCTATTTCAATGTACGTATTATCTGAGTTAGAGGATTTTTCATAACTATTGTTGTAGTAATGCAATAATGATATTGGTACTTTTGATATTCATGACACCACCTTCATCTATCTGAAACGTTCTGTATTTAATACTGGCCATTGTACACTACTTTTTTTAAAGTCTCAACATTTTTCTCACTTTCTTACATAGTCATACATGTACAAAATATACGTCATATAAATGCTATACGTTTTCATTGAACCTCAGTTAGATTAAAACACTAATTGAAAAAAATTATAAAAATATAAATTGTGTGACTGGATTCTTTATCACGAGTGTATCAATGTTAATTAAAACACTGAAAATTGAAGCATTACGTTTTGTACTTTAAATGATGTATTGTATAACATTTTATTCCTGATTTTGTGAACTAAATGAACATGCAAAAAACACATTGATCGGCTTATCTTGAGACAATACTCACGAAACCGTTTTGAAAGACTCTCATTGATTCATTGATTCGTTGATTCATTGATTGGAAGTTAGCGATTCCGGGCGCGTCAACTACTAAGGTCATTAGTCACGTAAGTGTAGTGCATGTTTTGCTCGGCAGTAATCTTCTCCCGCTGGATGGCGAGATCCGGCGCCGACCTACCGTCGGCTAGCGGGGTTTTCCCCAACCAAGTGTCTCCCACCAACTAGGCACCGCCCCAGCCGGGACAAACTCTAAGCTCCCGACCGGTCTCCCGTTGTGTGTGCGTGTGTTGTGCACGTTAGTGGGATGATGACACGACAAGAAAGATAAAGGAAAAATCGCGTGCGGTCCGTGACCCATTTCTTAGGGTATTGCTCCGGCATTCACCTGGTGATGTTCGGGGAAACCCCGGAAAATCACCGATCAGAGCAGCCGGCCACTAGAATTTTCCACCAGACATCGACTGATTTCGACCTAGCTGACAAGATAGCGTCGAAAGTCGTGCCACTGTCGGGAGAGGAACCGCAGTGATATCGGTCCATACACAGAGCCACCTCTCCCGGTAAGAGACTCTCATAACAGGGCGTCTGTACCAGCCGTAGCGTCAGCAATATCAATATTCTACGCATGCGCAGAAGCACTAAAATGGCGCGAAACTTCAACTACACATGAGCAGAATAGCTTCGCATGAGATACGCAAGAGGAGAATGCTTTGCAGAGAGAATGAGCACAGTTACACACGAGCAGAATGCTTTGACGTACGATTTGGCGCCAACTCCCCAACAGTAATTGGATTGAATTGAATTTGCCTTATTTTACGTGGCGAGACTCGGGCCATTAGGCCCGCTCTTCCGTCTAACCACGCAATTTTCGCTACGCTCCTTTCAAAATCTAGCAGAGAAAGGAGGTATTTCTTGGGCGAGAAACAGGCGATTTGAATTTAGCTCAGAGGCGTCATTTAGGCTTGAGGATCTTTTACATGCAAGTAAATCTACGAACATGGGACAGCCGGCTTTACTTCCCTTCCGAAGGATTTTTTCGCCCTTAAAAATCCAAGGCTTCGATCGGGTTTGAACCCGCCAACTTGGGTACAACAGTCCAGTACGCTAACCGTTACACCATCGACGCCGCGATGTAATAACCGCGTAATAACCGCGTAATAACTCCGTAAGGTACGAAACGCTCGCGACACCTCTCCCCTGTTCGCCGGCCACCTCTCAGGCGGCCTCCGCGCGGAGGAGACGCCGATGACTCACGCACTTCGCGACGAGACGTGGGTCGCGAAGCGACGAACGAAAACCCACCATCACTTCAACAGCGTCGCTTGTACATGTGCTGTTCAGTACCGCGCTGGTTCCATACCCGGTTTAGTATGTCCGAAAACTTGTCTTCCAATGTATGCCCATAAAAAGAAAGGAAAAGTAAATGTATGTCCATGTAAAATATATATGTAAATTAAATGTAAAGTAAGTGTTGTTGTACATTTATGTAGTACGTTTTCGATACTATACATGTCATATTACAATAAAACAAGCCACTGGAAAAATCTCAGCGATATATTTTATTGCTATTCAGAAAACATCGGTTTATCGGGCCAAATCGTTTTGATATCGTATGCGATTCCGTATCGATGCCGTTTTCGGAGTGGCTAGACGAGAGGGAGTGTACTTTATTCCATTCTCATTATGACATTACTTTTCTAACTAGTCTGATATGGCCAACTCCAAAACATTTGCGAGTACGGTGAACGCTTTTATATCGGAATACCTATGTATATATTCTTTAATTTAATTGATTAGGAGATTTTTTCCTTAATGGGCTTGTTTGGATAATATATAGAAAATTAATATTCATAACGGGAGGTTCATTTCTTAGGAATAACACGCTAATTAAACATAAAGGAGCTCGAAAGAAATCTCGCGCCAGCCGATTGTGTAACGCCTTCCCGTGCAGGCGAGCTCTATGTTTTCCGTGTGAGTAGTAGCGATCGGCTCCGAAAGTATCCCTACCACACATTCGCTTCTCTGAACTGAGTGACGTCACGATAACCTCAGGGTCGGAGAACCCGGGCCAGAGTTGTTTGAGAGGGAGATGAGATCGCAGATGCAGGAAGGATTATTATTTAAATAGTCTTGTATCTGACACACGTTAAAGTTTTAGAACAATAGTGGAAAATAGCCAGTAAAATATAGAATAATCCTTCGCAATATTTGCTCTAGAGAATATTTTAAAGGGTAATAAGATGTAAATAAAGGGGGGTCACTTTACAGAAGTAAGAATTTTTCTCGTAATTATTGTATTATTCTTTAAGTTGTGTTTATGAAAAATTTATGAAATTGATATGTTTACTCCTGAGCTTGGTCACTGCATGCTCATTTCTCATAAATCAGGAATCTTGATGAAACCAAACTCTTGCTCATGTTTGTTCTAGAGAAATAGTTCAATAATAATGGGCATCCTCTAACATTCGGGGAAATATCCCACTCGTTGGGTTACTAATTCGTACTGTCCAGCCGATATTTTGAAGGGGGACCGTCACATATTTCGTTAAATAACAAACATTTGTTATTACATTGCATATCATTTTTGTTGTGTTTGCGTGGTGCTATACAATATTATTTTTTAAAGATTTACATATTTCTAACAAATATTTAAATCAATTTTGACAAAAAAGGAAGGTAATAAACGAACGTCCTTGCACTTAATGGGATCTTAATTGGTTAATAATAATAATAATAATAATAATAATAATAATAATAATAATAATACATAAAGACTATGCCTTCGGGGGGCATGGCCCCCATGCCCCCTCCTAGATCCGCCTCTGTCGATAGCCATATGAGCATCACCCGATCTCTCAATAGGAAAACATTGACATTAGATATCGTACGTGTTATTAAATTTTCTAGCTTTGTTACTCATTGTCCTTTGTAGGTGTCAGTTCTATCCGGATCATCTCCACTATTTGTGCAAAGAAACACTCCGATAGCCACATGTGAGCATCACCCGATCACTCAATAGGGAACTCTCCGCGACCGCGAGCGGGAGGGGGGGGGGGGGGGGGGGGGGGGGGGGGGCTGGCGGGGCGGGCGGTGAACCGCCCAGAGCCGAGGGGGGGGCGCCGCTCCACGGCGGCCTCCGTTAAACAGCGGCTGCGGGCGCGCTGGCGGGCACATTCGGCCGGCGACCTCCGTCCGAGCAGCAGCAGCACAGGCAGCACCTTCAAGCCACGCCGCAAAGCGCTGCTGCAGGGTCGCGTTGGTGGCGTGGGGTCGCTGGAGCGCCGCGGGGCGCAGCGGCACGAAGACGGGCGCGCAGCAGACGCAACAGCGGCAGCAAGCAGCAGCACAGGCGCCCCGCGAGGCCGCGAGGCCGGGGCACGCCGGCGTGGGTAGGCGCGCGCTCGGCCGCGGGCGCCGCCGCCCGACTCCGGCCGCGAGTGCGAGTGCCGCGGCGTCATCCGGCGCTCGCTCGACTGCTCGGATCGCGAGCGCAGCCAGTTCAGCACCAGCGAGCTTTGCGCGGGCCGCACGCACAAGGTGGACCTGTCGCGCAACAACTTCGTCGCCTTCCCCACGGCCTGGGGGTCGTACGTGACGCAGGTGAACGTGTCGCGCAACCGCCTCACCGCCCTGCCGCGCGCGCCGCCGCTCAACGCCGGCACCGTGTGGCTGGACGTGTCCGAGAACCAGATCGGCTACGCGTCGGACGAGCTGCGCGGCTTGCAGTCGCTGGAGAAGCTGTACGTGGGCGGCAACCGGCTGCGCACGCTCGGCTTCCTGCCGTCGCCGTGCGCGCTCACCAAGCTGAGCGCGCCGCGCAACCTGCTCACCGCGCTGGACGGCGCGCTGGCGCGCTGCGCCGAACTGGAGAGCCTCGACCTCTCCAACAACCAGATCCTGTCGCTGCCGCGCGTCGCCCTCGATGGACTCAACAAGCTGGAGAAACTCAAGCTGCACGGCGCGGGCCTCGTCAACATCGAGGAGGGCTCCTTCCACGACCTGGTCAAGCTGGAGCTGCTCGACCTGTCCGACAACGACCTCACCACGCTGCCTTCGGGCCTCTTCACCACGCTGCACGAGCTGGACGACCTGTTCCTGGACAACAACAGCCTGACCGCGCTGCCCGCCGACGCCTTCGTGGGGCTCGTCGAGCTCGAGGTGCTCTCGCTCACCAACAACAAGATCACCACCTTGGCCCCCGGGGCCTTCACCGGCCTGGAGGACATCAAGTACCTCACGCTCAACGAAAACCGCCTGACGACGCTACCAAGCAACATTTTCTCGGGGCTGCCCCAAGTGAAGGGAATCGACCTGTCCGTCAACCAGCTGGAGACGCTTCCGTCGCGCCTGTTTGCCGACTTGACCACCCTGGAGAAAGTCAAGCTGCACCACAACAAGCTCACCACCCTGCCGAGCGACCTGTTCGCCGGCCTGAGCAACCTCGAGCTGGTGGACTTGTCGCACAACCAGCTGAGCGCGCTGCCTCCGGGCCTGGTGCAGCCGCTGACACTCATCAAGTCGCTGGACCTGTCGCACAACCGCTTCACCACCTTCAGCGGGCGCGACCTCAACGGGCTGCACTCCGTCGAAAGGCTCAACCTCGAGTTCAACCTGCTGACGGCGCTGCCGCTGTACGACGCGTCGTGGCCCGCCGTGGAGAGGGCGGTGTTCGGCCACAACAACATCGTGAGCGCGGGCGAGGTGACGCTACGCTCGTGGCTGGGCGACGGCAACACCAAGCGCGTCGTGTCGGTGGAGGGCCGGCCGCCGCTGTCCACGCCCAGCGCGCTGCAGTGGGCGCTCAACGACGGCGCGCTCTCCACCTCCACGTCCGAGGAGCTGGGCTGCGCGTGCGGCGCCGTCAAGAAGGGCGACGCGCAGGTGCGCTTCTGCCTGGCCGCCGCCTGCCCCAACGTACACGCCACGTGGGTGGAGGCCGTTCGCGCCGCGCCCGCCCCGCAGACCCACAAGGGCTGAACCCCCCTCCCTCCCCGTTCGACAGATACTTCCATCAACCACTGTTACTCGGCTAGTCTTCTTTAAAGTTTGTCTACAGCAAGACACGACTTTAAACGTCTTACCCACATTGTACATATGAGTTGCTTTGATGTATTTTGTAAAGCGATCATTTAAAGACGAGTAAAAGACGTGTGTTCGTATACATTTGTATGTTTTACTGAATCCTTTCCCCTTCTTTCAGATAAATACTCCATCATTGTTAAAGTTTGCAAAATTGTCTACAAAGATTTTTGGATTTCGGGAAAATGCATGTTTCGGGTTTGCTGTTGAAAATAACTCGACATATGAAGGAACCAATTAGTTTCGTTTACTGAGCGACTTATAATTTGTTACAGTCATTCAATGGCTCGTTCCTTTGTGACAAATTGTCAATGGTTGTTAGAGTTATTGCCATTAAACAATATTGTTTTCTGGTAAACCTGAATATTCTATGAGTACGTTTGACGAATCAAATCGTTTATTTCTTTGGAAATAATGTTTATTTCTCGTAAGTAATTAATGCATGTTACATAATTATTTTCCTTCATTTCGTTGGTGAATTTTTCATTATTATTAAAAATGTTATGTTTACAACGGAAAAAAAATTTTAAAAGATATAATGGTCGCTCTAGTGTCATAATGTATGAGAAAAATAACATTCTAATATCGTTATTGTTGAATTTAATTTTCATAAAGGCATTTAGACATTGACATTGTGTGTCGATGGGGGAGAATTCCACGTCACGCAAACTGGAAATGCCAAGAATCAAACGCAAGTTATTTTCATCTCCTGCAACATTACACCAAGTGTTATATTACATTTTGAAATGTGATCGAAACCAGCGTCAGCTAACAAATTCTTCTAAACTGTTGCACGTAATTAAAATTATGAAAATACGTACGTCATTATTAATCATTTTAATTAGAAAACCGTGATATTTTTTTATTTTCTGACAAGGAAAAAATATCTCACTGATTACACTAGTTCCTAGAATTAAAATGTTTTTGTACCATTCTCAGCGAGATCAGTAGTAAAAAAGCCGGAGAATGAAATGTTTATTATAAGAAATCTTTTATAAATTGAATGTATTATTTGGATACTGAAGGGATTTAAAACTCTTGGCGAATTTGTGAGTTTGATATGAATCGCGGGGCTTTGAGTCTTTGCCTTAAAAATTTATTTTTTATCGTTTGAAGCTTTTGTAAATTGATTAGTGCTATATTGCGCAAAGCCGAACAGGCATAAGTCATGGTAGGCCTTATTATAGACTTTATATTAATAGTAGCTCAATCAGTTCGCAGAGAGGAATTTCTGATAATAAGAGGGAAGAGTTGGATATTTTATCTCTGCTTTTAGAAACTAAGTGATGAATATGTTAATACAAAGAAAATATGTTGTCTAGCACCACACCCAGATATTTTACCAGTGAGATATTATGGAACCACGGGACCGAAATGCTATTAATTTGTAATTGTGCGGGGTGGGGGGGTGGGGGGCTGACGAATAGAATAGTTTTTTGCTTGTGATTTTGCAACATTCAATTCGATAAGAAAATTTTCGTCCAGCAGATACATCCATGTAAATTGGATTGAATAAAATAATATGCTACAGTAAGGTCAGAATCTGAAGTGAAAATCGCTGTCCCGTCTGTGTAGAGTGCTAGATAGCCCTATGCCAAACAAAATTACTTCTCCGAAATAACAGGGTAAAGGTATCAGTCGGACATTCCTTGTCAAAGAGTACAGTAAGAAATGACTTCGTAATGCAGCGTCATTTGTTACACCAACACCACAATACTCACACATAATGTAATTCTCCTTAAGGTAAGTATGTGACTAGGATTATCTTACTTTTCTCGTTTTTAATAACACTATCTAGAGCTAAACCTTTCATGTAGAAGTATATATAAGGCAAAAGTACGAATGTTTCATCAACATTTTTGTAATGAACAAAGCATTATAACATCACAAAAATATTAAAACACCAAATTGATATATCTACATTACACAAGTCCTACGAAACTATATGATAATACGATTTTAGTATGTGTGTATTGTATAATTACAAATAAAATGAAATAGGTAAATAACGAGCAAATAATATCAATTTGAGTAGTTCTTTACACATTTTTCAGGGGATGAAGGACGTTTAAATAATGTTTCCCGTAATCTCATATTCCTACTTGGTTTGCATGAGGTATCCTTCATATATGGACCAAATAACGGTGCTTATTTACATTTCGACTTTCTTTTGAGAATAAATTACTAAATATTTATACTACTCGATGGCTCAAAAGCGATGACTGCTTCTTTTGCTTTGACTCATTAACTTATCTCGCGGAGGAGTTCATAAGCCGACCCCTGCGGGACCCAAGAAATCCCTATTCTCAGCACGATAAGGCGGCAGTTGTGACGCAAGAGGTGATCCGTCCGGTCCATCAGATTGACTTCGGAAAGTTGCCAGTTACAGTTGCATCATGGAAATGTTTTCAGTGCAGTGTTATGTTTCTTTTTAAATTCATAGTTTAGTAAATCCAAGGTCTCCAAACTACCCGCGACCCAGGGCCCACGAGCAGATTTTATTATTATTACTATTATTATTATTATTATTATAATACATTGGCCATTGACCCTCTGCAGTCGCATAAGATAAATACATTAATATAAATTATATACAAAAATCATTTGAGACATTATAAACAGAAATTTAGTTTTATATATATAATACAATACAGTGGTTATACACACAGTTTATAATGAGAACAGACTCATCAGATTATATGTATGTGGGATCGAAAAACTCTCTTGGTAACTTTCATTTTCATCTTTTGCGGCGAGGATTTTGCTTACCTACGTGAAAGAGAAAAGTTGAAGGGATCTTTCATAATTTGGAATATAATTTTACGGATAAGAAGGAGAAATGGATGGGACTTGGTGTAATGCCAAGTTCTTTATGTAACTGCGCATTCGAAATGTTCCAGGGAGCTTTTGTGATGATGCGTAGGAATCTACTTGAAAAATTTGGAATTTGTTGATGTTTGTTTTGGCTGCGGTAGCCCAGACTGGCGAAGCATAGGAAAGTATCATTGCTTTAGAGAGGTGAACCGAGCTGTTTTTGTTCGGCTCTTGGACAGGCGTGATTGTTGTCTTCCCAGGCGCACCACCACAACTTCCCGAGCAACGGTTACTTATTGCTCATTCCCAGCACCAACTGTCTCGTTGTTCACGGCCAATATGTGTTTCTTCCTTCAAAGCTTCCATTACAGTCTTGTAGAGTTTGAAATGTTAGTATCATTGGCGTGCACAACGAAAACCGAGAAGGTGAAGAGGCAACCACATTTCTGTGTTCACTTTTTCATTCATCTTTACTTAAATACGATAAATGTTACTAGTAAAATGAAACGCACTACAAGCAGAAAAAATAGTAACTTGTATATGATACGGTTAACATGGTACAGTAGTACTCGCCTGACCGCTGTGGTGTGCGGATCGTGCCCGCAGCTCCGTAGTGTCTTACCT